CAGTCGGCCCCTCCGCCACCTCCCCCGACACAGGAGAAGGTTGCCCGAGGCGGGGATGATGAGAGCTCAGGCAACCGATTGAGCAAGAAGCCAGTGACGGCGCCGTGTTCGGCGCAGTGAGAATCGACGATGCGATAGTAAGGAAGTCGAAGGCCCCGAGGAACGTGCAATGGAGTTGATGGTTGTTCCGTCGACCTCGTGGTTATGTTGCGCGTAATTGAGGCGCCAGACTAAACAGCGAGTGCGCGTGATTTGGGCTGAGCAGTCCTTCTTGGGGTGGGGTGGGGGGTGGGGATGGAGGATCGGTGCTGACGTGCTATTGCGATAGCATTGAAGAAGAGGATTGACGTAATTTAGCGATACATTCGCGTCTTAAGGGTATTGAATCCACAGTATTAAGTACGAGATTCTTGTGCCTTTGAGATTCGAATTGACAAGACTTTTAATTTATTATCTCGATTGGGAGCAAAAAAGTAGGAACTGTCGGTACTATATTAAAGCTACCAACAATCTATCAACAATCTATAAATAAAATTGATTTTTAATAGGAGTAAAGCAATAACATTTGGCAGTAAGTATATCTTTATATCGAAATATTATCATGGAATTTAAAAAATTATATTCTCATAGAATATAATTAATTAATAAATATATTCAAATTGACATATAAATAGAGCAGATAGAGAAGCCAAGCTAATTTGGCGAGTGCTTCTTAACAGGATTTGCAGTAGCAATGTTTTAAACGATTGATATTTTCTAAAAGCCTTGATTAAACTGTCAAATAGAGATAAAAGAAATATCGAAATTACCATACGTTAATTTTAATATTTTATTTGCATTAGTATTATTGCTTCAAATAACATTTCAAAATGCCTAACTTTTTTATATACGTAATTCGAAGTAAATGATATATTCCTCCGATCGTAATAATAAGCATTTTTAAAAGGACGGAATTCCTGGAATAATAGAGACATATTAATCATAGGTGCCTTGTTATTTCATTAATACAGGACATAATGTATGCAAAAGTATATTTACATTTCTATTACAGCAAACATTTCCAACGTTGAATTATATATTCATGTGATCTTTCATGTGCATTAATTATTAAAATATAAAAATGCAAAATGTTTTTACCTAAAGAACTTTAAATTATTTTCCCATTACCTTTGCAATATTATGCTTTATTAAACGTCGTGACGTGAAATTTTGTAATATTCTTTATATGTTGATTAATTAACATTGACCACTGTTAGTGCTCACTACCACAAATTGATTTTACCTACTTAACGCAATACAACTATTTACCAAAAAATATTAAAATTTTTTATATAAAATTTATAACTGTATACATAATTAATTAAATATGTTCACATAAAAATTGAGATTTTTAATATAAATTGTAGATTATTTTATATTTCGCAAAGTATTTTGTTAAGTCTACTTGTTAAGCGTGCAGATAAGTACACAATTTTTAAACTATAATTAATTCATCAAAATACAATATATTATCCAAAAAATTAAAAATATATTATATATAATATTTATTTGATTTCCTCGTAACAGCATATTAAATTATTACCAATCGAGAGTAAAAATAAACATTTAAAAGAATTTCTTATTGAAACTGATGCAGCAACTATTCTATATTGAAGATTTCCTAATAAGACAGGAAATCCATGTTCCTTAACGATAATGCATTTATGTGTTAAAGTATTTAATTGTATCGATGGATAAAATACTTTAGAATAGAATATATTGTGTAAGAAATAAATGTTAACAAATCATATTAAAGAATCATAATTTTAGCTCGTGTACATTATAATGTAAGCTTAAATTGACAATTTCATAGCAAAAGGAAGTAAATGAATTTCTACAATAATAGAATATGTGCTCTAAATATAATTATTTATCTTTAATTTATTAATACTAAAATACTGTTATTAAATTTTAATTCCTTCTAAGCAATTTATTTAAATCTAATACTTTAAGCATATTTAATTTATTTATCGCTGTAATTTGCCTAAGGTTTTTTTTTTACACATAAATTTATTTTATTTTAGTGTTTTTAATAGTATCAAAAAATATGCAGATTTTAAATATATCACGAATGAGTTCCGAGGGTGGAAAAGTCTTAAAAGATTAAATAATTGTATGAGGATAATAAATCTAGATGAGAAAAAAATGTATATGTAAATAATGAAATGTGAATCAGAAATAAATTGTTTTAAAACTGACATGACAATATATGAGAAAAAATCCAATGCTTAAATAAGAGAATTAAAATTAAATAATCAAAGCGTAATAAATGTGATAAATGTCAAGAGAGTTATGACAAATAAGTGAATAGAGGGTATAAAAGTGAACATAATCATCATTATGCAGATATACATCTCTCTCTCTCTGTGTGTGTGTGTGTGTGTGTGTGTGTGTGTGTGTGTGTGTGTGTGCGTGCGTGTGCGTGCGTGCGTGCGCGTGTGCGTGTGTGTGTTTGTGATAAATGTTTAGCAGAAATATTATGAGAAATCCATGTAAATTAAATAAAAAGAAAAAAAAAAAAAGACGCAAACTAAATAATTTCTACGTAAAATTTGATAGTAAAAAATTGTTACGAATATTAAGAATATCAAGTAAAATGAATACAACTAATAATAAGAATATTAATATAATAGTATCATAATTTCAAAGCATAATTCTATTAAAAATGGTTAATTATTAAAATATTATAATTATAAATTATTGGGTTAATTTATAATTTACACAGGAAATTATACAAGAATAACCATGTGATAGTTAATGATAGGAGTAGCGTAATGCTAAAGTGAAAAGATTATAAAAGATATAAAGTATGGCCGAAGGTATACGGGTTTAAAAGGATGAAAACGTAATAAATATGAAAGAGTTGCAAATACGTTTGAGCTTGAAAGAGTCACATCTATAAATACGAATATTTAATGCTATTTGAAATAAAAAATATCGTTTCCACTCCTCTGCAGTGAAATAAAAAATATTTTACTTTAAATAGTTAGTAGGTAAATACAAACTGTATTTAATATTTGTGCATTTAACAACAACAGCAGCAGCAACAACAACAACAACAACAACAACAATAAAAAAAAAAATAAATAAAAAAATTATTTCAACAGATATTTCAAAATTTATAATTAGATGCATAAAAAGTTTTAAACATTATATTATCCATTGCTTGAACATATAACTTCTATTTCTGGACTATTTATTACAGTATTTATTATAAAAATAATATCACTTGCTAAAGATCGACAATATAAATATCGTATAAATTTATTAAAGTACATTACAATGGACGTTATTACTTATAAAAGTTAATTTCCCATTTGTTATAAAAAATTATACTAAATTCGATGAAAAAATAACATGAATTAATGCGTGAATTAACTTGAAACTTTAATATTCGAATGAGTCGTGAAAGTAATAATAAAGCAGCTGATGGTTAATAAATGTATATTGAAGTAAACATTTAATGCGAGTAAAAATGCGGTGAAAGTGTGAAAGAGTGCAAATAAACCAGAAAATATGTCTCAAAGATGTAAAAAAATGCAATATTCAATTAACGAATGTAGATAATCGTTGTGCTTTATTGAATTATCATCACCGGATACGAATCATTTTATTGCAAATAAGATTGTAATTATAATTTAACTATAAATGTCAATGAGGTAAGTCATTATTTTATAATAAAATAAGTCGTTAAAAATAAAGAATATGACTGAATGTAAATGAATGATTATGTAAAAACATTTAAGAATTCGATAGGAATGATAATAAGTGCAATTTATTTTGCTTTCTTAGACAATATGTTTCAAAGCCAAAAGATTCATATTGCAATTGAAAAAATTACTTACGAATAAACAAAATTAAACAAAAAATATCGTGTAAAATTGACAAGTAATTGAATTGATCGAGGACTCGGATTGAAATAATCGATAATCGGTCGACAAATAAAATGAACAATAATTTGCCATAATATGGAAGAGTGATTATTAAACATAATAAATAGATTTTGTAAAAAATTTCTTGGAGAAAAAGAAATTTAATATCGATGTAAGGGATAACACATGAAATGGTATGAGTTAATAAAATGTTTATCATAAAAGAAAGAATGTGAAAGAGCTTTTGAAATTATTGAAATCCTGACTATAGATGAGAAAGCATTTATTAAACTTCAGATAAAGCAGTTGGTAATGTATTTTTAATTAACTTATGAACATATACAAATATAATTATTTAAGAGTATTTACGCTAGTAATTTATCGCAAGTCATTTTTCACGTGACATATATACGTTTACGTATACGTAAATAATTACGAGTAGTCTACCGAGAAAAGTGCGTGACTTGCACCGACTGACAATCAAAAATTTTACGTATTTCAATGGCGATTAATATTTAGTAATATTTATTTAGTAATATTAGTAATATTAATATTTATCATCGTTATAATGCCATGAACTATAATAAATGAAAACATGTAACGGTTTATGAAAATTCAGATTAAAGTACGTGAAAATACTTTTAAAGCTCGTTCGATGTGGGTGTCGAGTCCCGCTACTTTCACCCATCTCATATTAATGTTTAGTAAGGAATTATAACGAGACCAAATGACAAGACAAAGGACAAGAACAATCGACATAATAGATTTAAAATAAGACGTAGATAAATTACTTCTCGGACAATAAATTTCATCGTAAATTTATTTTTTTCATAAAAAGTAAATTGCGTCTCACGCGAAATGTAATAAAGAGTAACCAACTTGAAAGCGCCTCGGGCAAGAAGACAACGAGAGTAGGTGCAATTTACGGATTGGAAAGAGGCAATAAAGTGCAAACAATGTCTGCAGGTGGAACGATTGTCACCGCAGCTGTCGGTCGATCGACTATCCGTCACCTTCGCCCTCGGCAAGCGCCACGGCAACCAGGAGTCGGCTCAGGCTGGGGCCCCGACTCCGACTCCGACCACGACGATGAGCGGCTTCGACTTCAATCATCATAATCCACGGGCACGAGCCTTCACCCTGGATGGGGCCGCCCCCAAGTCCACGGATGTCCAGCGAGTCTCCGCGATCCCTGGTTAGTTCAATCTTCGGTATCCCCTATCCGACCTTAACAGCTGCCGCCTCGCCTATCATCGCGACTCATTGACTATCGAAGGATAAAGAGTCTCGCGATTAACCAGCGATGGCCGAATACCTGTTTTTAGCTTTACGGAATCACTGCTCCATTTATATCCCCGCGGCTTCTTTATGGATTAAGAAAAGGATTTATACTTTGTTCTTTATACGTATTATAAAGTTGAGCTCACTGGCTCACGCCAGAGCGCACGCTCTTACCAACTGAAATTTCGATGAAACGAGTTTTATTCCGGTGATATAACGTACTTTTCTAGCGAAATTCAAAATACCACCTTTTTATATTCTACACGTCAGATAGATGCTCGTATTCGCAAAATATTCGTTTTATGCACCTACCAGGCTTTTTACGAGCGCTTCCAACTTCAAATGGAGCTAGTTTATACTTTATCCGTTGGTATGAGCATGTTTGTTGTTCTTTTTTTTTCTTTTTTTTTTTTTCCTGATCGCGTCTCGTAAAAGCTCATTTATAGGAGCTAGGAGCTGTAAAATTTTAAGCATAATTGCACACAATGTTAAACGATGGATAATTGCAAGTATCGTATAGGCTGGTCGAGAATAATCGAGAATGGGCTAATTTTATTTAGAGCATTTAAAGACAATGGATTTTCAAATTTTACTTACAAACGTTTCCATTTGTAAACTAATATTTGGGAAATATTAAGAAATTTGTACGACAGCTTCTCGTCGATAAAAATGATTTTTTTCTCACGACAATTTTTCTCAATACAATGAAAATTATGTACCACGCATAAAGTACAGATGTATCCGTAACGAAGCACAAAGATCCAAATGAAGTATAAAATCGAAATATCATAATTTAATGGAGATATTGATAATTAATAATTATGCTGGATTATAACAGAAGAAGCTCTATTATGCGAATATTTAGAAGATAAGCGTGCTAACCCAAGTCCAATTACAAATGCATTTCTCAAATACAACACTATAATTATGATAAATAATATATTTGAAAAACAATTAATCATATTATCGAATAGATCCAATATACAGTCGTAATAAATAATAGTAAAAAATTTGTCAAAATTATGGATTAGAAATGGATTAAAAAGGTTCGATACTCGCTTAAGGTATTTATTAGTTACAACAGCAATTATTATTAAAATTCAATGAATTTCGTATGTTCGATAGAAACATGTTGTGTAGTTCCACATATTTCAGCATTCTCTCAAATTTCATAGTCGCAATATGAAATATTCAACAATATGTTTAAACACGTAGGTTCTACGTAATCTTCGACAAAATCTTATCTGCTCCAGTATACTGAATTTATAATATTTAAAGCGGCATTTACCAAATTGAGTTACAAGTATAATAAAAGAAGATACGTTGTTATACTCATGTTAATTTGCATTTTATATGTTTACGCTTTCATTTTAATCGAACAAGTTACCGGAAATAATTAATAATTTCATTTCATCAACTACATATATCAGAAATGAGCAATATTTAAAATACAATAACAAGCGAACATCGAGCTAAGTAATAATTTATAAGCAATAATTTAACAATTTATATATTATATAAATATTTATTTATAACAGAAAGTAATTATTTACTTTACAAGATTAATATACTTTCTAAAATTTTGTACATGAAAATTGCTAATTGCTAATATTATTATATGACCTAATTTATACTTAATGCTTAGCGTGCCTATTGTTGGTACAATTAATTCTTTTTTTCGAAAATCATAGAGTCATAATTAAGATTCTTTTTTTATCCTTAAACACACACGCACATTATTACAGAATTATGTTAAGTAGTCGTAATAGTTAGATGATAGTACTATCCGATGCCGTAACTATATACTAACAAGAGTATCACATATGGCGGTCCAGATTTTAAATAGAAATTATGCTTCGATAATATTTTGAATAATGAATAATAGTCGTAAAATATTAAATGATAAAGGAGATCGTAATTGTCGTTAATAAAAACTTATTATTTGCATAGAAATTAATACAAACTTTTAGTTATACAAAGATTTTAAAATTAATAATTAATTCATGAATTTTCTGTTTATATTCTTATAATAGTGTTTTTTTTTTTTTTTTTTTAATATTTTATTTCTTATTAATTTTTCTGAAGTCTATAATATAGTTTGTAGAAAATACAAAGAATAATTTAAATGTAAAAGTAATTCAAGAAAAACTAATAACTACAAAACAAAATACATTGATAATGTTATGTAACGGACGGGCAGCAGATTTAACATTAAAGTAAATCAATGAATAAAATTCATAGCATTTGATTTCTTGATATTATCATTTCTATATGTGCATTAGATTACAAATTGAAAAAAAAAAAAAAAAAAAAAAAAACCCAAATAGGATGAATAAATTTTAAAAAATAGATAAAAGTAGAAATAATTCAATACACCACCATATGTAAATATTACGTAAAGAAATTTTATTATTGATGTAACAATGTAATTTGCTGTTCATAAGTTACTTGATATAATTAAAACTTAGGAAATTTAAAAAAAAATATGAAAAAAATTACTTTTAAATAATAAAAAAATAGAAAACTATCAGTTAAAATCTAAATAATTAAATTTAAATTGATATATTTACAAATTGATACGACATGATGAATAAATAAGAATTTATTGCATTGTATAATTAATTTTTTACAACTTTATTTATATATATCTATATATAATATTTCATCAAACTTTGAATTCCCAAAAATATTTAGCAATTAAATTAACTTAATATTTTTAAAAAATGAAATACAATAAGAAAATCTTTTCTTCTTTTTTCTTCTAAAATATTTAACTTTATCTTCATGATTAAACAAGTTATGAAATTCTATTTCTATAATTATGTGAAATGAGTTTTTTAGTTATGATGATTAAAATACGACATTAATGTGCATCAAATAGTAATATGTAATATTCAAGGTGAAGAAATGAAAAAGCGCTTTGTTCACATGTAAGTTGTGCATCTAAAAGAACTCTATCACCGACATAATTCAATATTGGTTAATCTTGTTGTTGTTTTTTTTTTTAAATGTAAAATTACATTAACCTTATAATCTATTACCCTCGTGAAACAATACCATTAGTTAGGAATACTCAATTTATAAAGAGAAATATTGAGTTAATAATAAAATGACAACTTTCGTCAGATCTACATCCGTATAGGCATAACGTAACGAACGACAGCAGCTAAATTAGTGCGTTTGCTACGGTATTTTGGATATAATTAAAGGATAAATTGCTGATTCAAAATCCATTTTGATAACAATATTATATTCGTCAACGCAACTTAACCTTTTACATTGAGAAATCCTCTCCGAGCCCGAGCTTCAAACAAGTTTCCATCCTCCACTATACACCTTATATTCATCAACATGTATTTACACGAGTACTGGGAACTCACCTTTGCCCTTCGAGTACTCGGATATTCCTTACATTTACACACACAGCAGTTGCCACAGCAATGTAGGTACTCTCTATCCGTCCGCTTCTTCATCCACCTCTCTTATTATCTCGTGTGCATCGTCGACATTTCGCTTTATATGCATATATGCACAAACAATACCCGCCCCAGCTCAACAAAATGTTTCATCTATAGAATTTGTTATTTATTTATTTATTTATTTATTTTTAATTTTTAAAGGCGATTAAACTAATTACAAATGAAATTACAAATAATTTGTAAAAAAAAAAAAAAAAAAAAAAAAAAAAAAAAAAAGCGCACGCTTTTTATAAACGATTATTCATTGATTTCGTACAAATTGTTCGTTTAACAATTGTGTAAGAAATATTGTATTTCTCTGTATGCAATAATTCAATAATTGGCTCGCATTGTCTCATATATTATCAAAATTATATCGAGTATAAAATAAATAAAACGTAAATAATATTGAGATTTGTAAGCTTACTCGATAAATTAGTGTCGAACAATTATACACAAGCGTTAAAAGCACATCATAATTTCTTGGAAAATCATTTAAGCGAAGAGGAAAGACGAACAAATGCCGGCTATCCTAGAATACAATACATAGTCACGTAATTCCTTTGTTCGGTAATTCATTTTACATTGATTGGATCGGTTTCGAAGTTTGGAAATAACTAAACGAAATGTCGTTCGTAGTTTCAGTATATTGTACGTTAATTCATAAAAAGAAAATACAAACAAAAAAATAAATAAATAAAAAAAATACTGTCGATTGATTGTATAAAATAAAAAAAAAAAAAAAAAAAAGAAAGAAAGAAAAAAGTTGCTAAAACTTGGCGTACTTAGGTTAAAGTTAAATAAATGACCATCTACGCGAATAAAAGTATTGTGTTCATCAGCAGAAATTAAGAATTCTTATCGATTATATAAATATTATTATGTTTAAGCCCTAAACACGAAGTTTGAAATATTTTCATATTCGAATGAGCTTTAATCACAATTTGAAGAATAGAATGCGTTATGCTATGTTAAGAAGTCGTGAGGATAAAATGATATATTACTTGAGTATGGGCGCAAATATAAATAAATTTAATAATTTTGAACAGAGTCCTTTGTGCGTAGCAGTAAATCAAGATAATTTTGAAATGATAACATTTTTGCTTGATAATCATGCTGATCCAAATTATGTAAATAGTCTAGATAAGTCTGTACTTCATTTGGCATTGAGAAACTTATATGTCGCTAAAATACGTTATAAACATTATGAAGGTTCGATCAATAAAGCAAATACAGTAAAGTTTCTTTTAAAAAAAGCATCTTAAGTTTAATGTAATAAATGCAAGTGGTGAGAATCTATTTATTACACATGGCAGCAAAATGCGGCAATAAGGAGATAATGTAATTATTAATTTAAAAGAAAATAAATGTCAATCAAATTACACATAATGGTAAAACGGTGCTGCATTATATTATAGAAAATTCATTAAAATCAGCCATTAATATTTCAATGATTAGCTTACTCTTAAAGGCTGGTGCTAAAATTGATCTTATGGATGATTATGGTGATACAGCTCTGTATTACGCAGTTTCCATAGATAAATATAAATTGGCTGAATATCTTCTTTTAAAGGGAGCTGATGCGAATTCTCTAAATTGTGACGATTGTACGCCAATGTTTAATGCTGTGAAAAGATGTAACATAACAATGATTGAACTGCTATTAAAGTACAATGGCAATATTAATTTTACAAATCATCGTAAAAATAACGCTTTATGCATTGCTATGACATATCCTCCTAAAGGTAATTAATTTCAAGTAATTTACTAATATTTCATAATACATTCTTAATAGTAGAATTAGAGAGAGAGAAAGAGAGAGAGAGAGAGAGAGAAAATGTTTCTGATAATGCAAATATATTTTTTAATATTAAAATTTTTCATTCTTTATTATTTTTAATAAGAATAATCAAGTATGTTATGATTATTGATCACTATATGTTGCTTATGTAGGTCGTTTAAGATTTCATATAATCAAATTATTAGTTGAAAAGGGAGTCAATGTTAATCAACAAAACATTATTAAGTTTACTGCCTTAAGTTGTGCTGTGAATAACGGTGATGAGAGCGTTGCTAAATATCTTATTAATTATGGTAGCCATTTTGATATAAAGAATATATACGGTGAAAATTTAATGTATGCCGTTATCAACAATAAATGCAAAAAGATAATATTGAAAGTAATGTTATCAAAAGGAGCCAATATTAATAAGACAATGGGCATATATAATAGACATTTGATCGATTGTGCTGTAGACATTGGTGATATTGATATTCTTCGACTGCTATTAGTTTATAATGTAAAAAAATAGGAAATTCTGCAGAATATATGCATAATGCGATTTATAAAGCATTAGAGAAGAGCAACAGTGACATAATAATGTCTTTTGTAGAGTATGGGTTAGATATTAATGCAGCTGATATTTATGGGAATTCATTCCTGCATATTGCTGCGTGTAAAAATAATTTGTTGGGTGAAAATTTGCTGAATATAATAACGATCGTACAAAATTTTTTGGATTGAGGAGCTGATGTGAATAAGGAAAACGCCGTTAATGCTGTTAAATCGTCTAAATTTTACTCCCACAACCATACATTTTCTTATTGTAAGGCATATAGCCCAATTGCTTTGCAGAAAAGCTTATATAAGTAAAAAAAATTTAGATATAATATCGAAACATAAGTTAGACAAGTATCTGTCAGAGTGCTCGAATGAATTGTTATTAATGGAAACAAAAACAAAATTTACAATGATATTACTTACTATGACTTAGTCGATAAACGTAATAATATTGTTAAATATGCGAGAAATCGGCATATCGTCGCTACCGTGAGATTAAAAAATCTCTTTCTTGAATATCCCAAATATCATGATCAAAGACATAAGAACATTGAGGACGGATTGTAAAAACTGAAATTGTTGAATAGAAATGTATATTTAATTGCTGCAATCATACCCTACAAATTACCGTGGCAAATAGTTTATATGATTTGCGAACATTTGCGTGCCATAGATTTACGAAGATTACAATTTATGTAAAAGTAAAATAAAATAAGCAGTGTTTAATGTTTATCATGACATTAAGAAAAAGAGAGAAATTTTTGTTTACCGTTATAATAAACTACCAAACATTTAGCATTAACAAATCTTATTGTCTATTTCATTTACAAATTATCCACTAGGCATTTGTCGTTAAATTATTAACATTATTAGCCCATAATCCTATTAAGCAAAGTGTAAGAAATTCTTTTACATTTTCTCAATGTTGAAATTCACCAAAGATGTAGTATTAAATCAATATACTATGTAATCAATCTCAATATTAATCTCGCTTAATAGTTAATAGAATATTATTCTCGACCATTTCAAGATGCTCTTTACACAATTGTGCAATTACATATTTGAATGGCACACGTAATAAATGTATTTTAATCTTTATACAATGATTTTCATTATGTAAATGCTTATCCACAGGCGATAGTTTAATAAATTAAGGAAGAATCTATCGACCCCTAATATTCCCCGGATAAATTAACAATCGCAAGCGCTAAAGCTCGCGTAAGCGTTAAGCCAACGATAACTAACGAGTCTCAGGCATTAAAATTAAAAATTGTTTTAACGATAAAAAGGCAGCGAGGACGCTGGCGAAGAGGACGATTATTCGGCTTCGGCGTGCGCCATAATCCAGAGGCGAAATTCATCGCGACGGCACAGCCGTCGAAAGCGCCGTCCCTCCTCGCCCTTCAGCCCGGACGTCGAAGACCCTCACCGGCGGCGCTCGTCCGCCTACACCTCCAGTTCCGGCGAGTGAGTATCATGGAACGGATGCCGGAATATCGTACCGATTTCTCGAATTTAAATTTTCATTTCGGAGCAAATGTCGATTCATCGACGGCACACGCCCACTCATCGTCCCACGCAATTTGAAATTACGGGAAAAAGCAGAGTTCGCCGGTTATTATTTGCCGCCGCTTACCCCCCCCCCCCTT